ATGTGAATGGACTTTTACCCAATATGTGCCTCAGCATGCCTGTTCACCCGTTTTCATTTCTCCTTTCAATATGCTGTACCATGCCTGTTTGTATGTATTTACATCACATTCCTCCTCACAATTGAGTATGTGTGTCCTATAGGAAAAGCAGAGCTTGATTTCACTGCAGAGTACCTTAAAGGTTTTTCTTGGCTTATTGAAAGCGTAGGTATTTGTTTAGAGAACAGGAGCAAATCAGTGTGTAAACTTGACCTTTGCATTTAATCCATGTCTTTGTTCTTTGGTATTCCCTTCTATTGTGACACATGACCACAAAAGCAAATTTTCTAGCATTATCTCAGCCTTGGGTGTGTGTACAGAAAGCTCTGAGTTTATGAACTGAACTAAGTTGCACATTGAAGTAGCCCCAGAGTTGTTTTCAGCTTTCATCTTTCTAGTTACATGTTGCAGATGGTCAGTTATTATCATTGCTACAGCCAACATTGATTAGTTTTTTTTCTCTACATGGATTTCTGGTTACATTGTATTTTTGGGAGGAGAATATGCCTCAGGTCTGTGATGTAGCTCCTCTTAAAAAACTACTCTGGACCTCCTGTGTTTGTTTTGTTTCATTTCTGATGCTTTAAATTGGCCATGGAGATCTGTATAGGGCAAGTTCAGCTGGTATGATAACAGGAAGCCAGATGTTAGGATACTGGCTTATTTAGCCAAGTGCTGGCAGGAGGTAACGTCAAGGTCTGGTCTGTGCCCCTGCCGAACCCCACATAACCTGTGTTGGAAGATTCTTGCTCCTCTCCTTTTGCACGCTTCAGTGTGTGCACAGTGTGAACTTGAGACAAGAAAAATGCACCAAAAGATGAAGAAACAATTCCAAAGGTTCTGTGCCTGAGTAAATTGGAGAAGCAGTGTTATAAAGGAGATAAAATTCTGTAAAGTGAAATAAAGAGAAATATAAGGGTTAACTTGATAGAAGTGATTTCTGCAGCACATTTAACACGTTTACAACTTTTTAAAATTAGATCTGATAATAGAAATTACTTTTGACAACAATATTGCCCTGTAGATTCCTTCCTAAAGTAAAATATTTGACTTTACAGCAAAAAGCTTAGGTATTAACTGCATACTCTCAAGTCTATCTCAGCCTCCTTGGATAGGTCTGAGGCATATTCCTGGTAAGGGGATGTAACTTCCTTTGCAGCCCAAGCTCAAAGGTTTGATTAGTTTCTTTCCCTGGGCTTATACTTCTCAAATTGCCTCAGGAAGGCATTCACATTGCCTCGGGAAAAGAATTCTGCATCTGGTCTGCCAATTATTGGCCTTTCCTGTGCAAGTTCTGAACTCCTCTGTTCTTCTGACCCTGCAGTGGTGTCAACTGGGCTTGAACTGCAGCAACAGAGATAATAAATAGCCTTTAAACTTCTTGGTAATGGAGAGGTTAATTGAAGAGAGAAACCTCTCTAAGGATGGAGAGAGGATGCTGTTTCAGCACAGGCAGTGGGGCATCCAAAGGAAGAGCAAGGAAGGTTTTTGTAGGTGCCCCAAGAAAACAAGAATGTCACTGCTTGTGTCATTAGCCTTGAGATAATCCTGTAAGAATGCAAGTAGCAAGAAACCAGGCTTTAAATTTATTATACGGTCATCTCTTAAAATATTTCCTTTAGTTTTAGAACTGGAAGCAAAGAAGGCTGGTATTTGAAGGTCTGTTGGCAGTCTGTGAGGTCCTTATTCATGTTCCATAGGAAATTGGCAGTTCATACATTTTAAATTTTAGGAAACATCCATCTTGTACGTTCCACATTTTCAACATGACTCCTTCAAATTTTATTTTGGCTTACTTTTCTTTTTTTTTTTTTCCTTTCTTGTTTATGCCACTCTAGGTCACATTTTTCTGAATCGAGGACAAAAATGAAAATCACTCAAGTACCTTTAGCAAAAGCTTACTGTGAAATAAAGAGATCAGAAAAGTTGGACTGGGGATGTGGTTAAATATCCTATGTTTCTGTCAGATTTACATCTACTAATATGGGTATTGGGAAAGTCTTGTTCCACACCTTCCAGCAGAAGCCATTTTAGGAAGAAAATGCTATCTCTGAGCCAAATTTCAAAGTCTAATATTTTATTTAAGGTTTGCCTTGACGTATGTGCTAATAAACTGACTTCATTTCTTCATTTCTTCTTGCTGCCAGTGCTATCCGGGTGCCTGAAAAAGGCATCTGTTTAGGTACACATGCATCTTTAGATACATGTTCTTTAGATACACATCTCAGTTTAGGTATATGAAGTGTTAGAAATGTTATCTTAAGATTGTCTGTTTCTTCTGAGTTAAGTAGTAGGTGCTCCAAAATAAATAAATAAATAAATAAATAAATAAATAAATCTCAGAGAACAAAGTTTCTGAACTTATCATTGAAAAGTTTCTCTTGTTTTTAGTGACATTCTTAGTATTTGGTAACACAGTGTCTGGATCCATACTCAAGATATGCACAATGTTCGGCTTGCTTGCTCTATGTGGGAGAGCTAGCTTTTAAGCATTGTTAGCCTTCACTTCCCTAGTCTTTTCCTACCCTTGCCATAAACTGGTAGTGATGTTTCTGGCTGCCAGGCTTCTATTGAGCCCAAGCAAAACAAACTATCAACTGAAACCCAGTAAATTTTCCCTCCCCTAATACCCTCCCAAGCTAGCAAGTGATTAATCCAAATCTGTAATCATATGGTCTGATTTTTCAAATAACAATTGTCAGACTTTTAATATGTTTTAATCATTTCTTGCCAGCTACCTCTTCTTTGGATAGGAGTCTTATGATATGGAAGCTGAAGAAACAATGCAGAGCTTACAAGTTTGTAGGTCACATGGATGCTGTGACCAGCGTGAATTTCTCACCAGAGGGGCAGCTACTTGCTTCAGCTTCTCAGGATCATACTGTCAGACTGTGGATTCCTTGCATGTGAGTGTCACTGGGAGATGCTAGCCGTACATTTCTTTAATGTGTAATGTGAATATTGGGGCCCTTTCATGGTAAATGTTTCTGTTTGCTTCTCATGTCCCAGTCTGGGTGTCAACAGATACAGAAGAGCACAGGTAGTGTGATTCTTTACTGTTTATTCTTCTAGGAAATAGTTTAGCAATTTAGAGATTATAATTTCATGAGTGTGCAGGGATACTTCCAATTTAAAGGGTGTGTTTCTTTTATAAGAACAGCATGACTGTACTTCATTTAGGAGAGACAAGTGATGAAAGAAACAAAAAGTGTTTTTAAAGAAAATATTGTAATTGATTTGTCTTCTTAGACTTATTTTCAAGCAATTGTAATTGTGAGCTATCCAGGATGATCTTGGGAAGAGTGGTATATTTAATAAATCCTTTTTCAAATACTGCATGGAGACTGGTATTGATAGTTGCAATATTTTCCAAATATTGGTCATCTTAAATATGATCACTTTAAAGTCTGTATTTGGATGAGATGTAGTCTTCCAAGTAGGTTTTTTTTTTTTTTTTTTTTTTCATTTTTTAACTCTTTATTTATTTATTTATTTATTTATTTATTTATTTATTTATTTATTTATTTCCCAGTCATGGTGAATCATCAGTACTGAAAGGTCATACAGCATCTGTCCGTAGCGTAAGCTTCTCACATGATGGCCACCTTCTAGTTTCAGCATCCAATGATAAATCAGTTAAAATATGGAGCGTTCAACGTCGGCGCCTTTTGTTTTCACTGTTTCAACACACTCACTGGGTTCGCTGTGCCAAGTAAGCTTTGGTTTTACTCTCCTCAAAGGGGCTTTCATGGTGGATTCTGTGTTCAGAACTCCTTGAAAAAGATTTTTATTTCCTAAAACAGAACTAAGAGAGGAAACATCTGTGAATGGTATAAGCTGGTCTATCGCTAATGATAAAATTATAATAAACCAATATATCACACACACATATTTTGCATTTATCTCCAAATTAAAATCTGAAAGTTTGCTGTGTGTTAATATGTGCACGTAGTAAATCAGCTACTGATTCTTAATCCTTTTACTCTAAAGGGCATTTAGGTCTTAGATACTGAGTATTTAGGTCGTATATCACTGAGTGTCCTGTCTCCTTCCACTATCCTGTATATGTCTGTGCTCTGGTAACAGCTTACTTTGCAGCATTCACTTATGACTAGTTTCATTATTCATGGCAGTAATTTTCTTAACTATTCTTCAAACAATAATGGCATAAAAAAAGGTCATGAGTCAAAGTAAGTTAAATTTACAGAATTGGAGAAGGTAAAATAAAGTCTTTGTACTGAAAGCTAAGATTAACATCCCATTTAAGACAGAGCAGATTTTCAAAGACAAAAAAAAAAAAAAAGATTGTTCTTTCATAATTTGTTTCCATATTAATGGCAAGTCTCCAGCTAAGAGGCCCACATTAAACATCTTGGGGAAGAAACATGATACTTGTAAAGCACTGAAGCCCTACAAAATTCCAAAGTATCTAACCTTGAAAAGAAAAAGCTGTCGGAAATCACAATTTTCTGTAATTATCTCATTGGTATCTGAAATGCCAACCTTAGGCTGCTGTTACTGTTGTTTTTCTCTTTCCGTCACTTATGGGTCTAGTATTTATTGTAGTTGTCTGTGAAATGGAAAAAAAAAAAAAGGGTAGAGGGAAGTTTACAGTTTTATTACTTCCTGAAAAATATGAGAAATTCAAGTGTTGTTTGAATGCTATACTTTCTACTTCTTGGTAGACTTTCCTGGTTCTGGTGTTTTGCTGCTTATGTCTACAATACAAAGTGATTGATACTTCTCAGACTAGAAGTCTATACATTTCCAATTTGTATACACGTTCCAGATTTTCACCTGATGGAAGACTAATAGCATCTTGCAGTGAGGACAAATCTGTGAAGATCTGGGATACAATAAATAAAACATGTATTGATAGTTTCATAGATTACGGAGGGTAAGTGTTGCTATAAAAAAAAGTGTAAGTGTATAGTTCTAATAAGTTTAAATTTGTGTTTTGTTTTGTTAACGTGTGCTATATTTGAAGATAGGTTGTAAGTTCTTCTATCACCCATGTGAGCTAAAATAATTAATTTTTTTCATTTTCCTAAATAATGCTATTTAATGTTGGAACTTTAAGAATTCTCTACCTGCTGTTGAGGAGGAACGTATTTTATTAGCTTCAGTAATCTGCCACACCTAGGTATGGAGATATTTATTGTACTTCCTACATAAAACCTCTTGATTTTTGTGTATATCAATGCCATTTTGGTCAGGAATAGATTTTGCAGCTTTTTCTTCTAAGAACTTTGTACGCAGGTATCAGTTGTGGATATCTGAGTCAGTAAGCTGTCCTTAAAAAAAACCAAAACAATAAATAACAACAACAACCAAAAAAAAAACAGATTGTCCAGACTCAACAACCTTAATGAGTCTATGATTTATCAGGCACATTTTGTTTACTCATGCTTATTTAAGTTCTTTGGAAACTCAAGTAAGGTATTTCTTACATGCTCAATAGTTTATTAAAAAAACAAATATTTCTACCAAAACAATTGATCAGTCTATTTTTGTGAATTATCTTTAGGTTTCCAAATTTTGTAGATTTCAACCCAAGTGGTACATGTATAGCTTCTGCAGGTTCTAATCATACTGTGAAACTGTGGGATATTCGAATGAACAAGCTGCTACAGCATTACAAAGGTAAAAACAACATCATTTGTTGTGTTTTAGTAAGGGTGGGACTCTTTGTTACAAAACATAATTTACTTTGATATATGTGATTTCATTCCTTATTGGAGAAAGTAGAGAAACAGATCATGCTGGCATTTTGTAAATAATCTTTTTGTAGCCCAGTGACCCTAAAAAAAAAAGAAAAAGCCTCAACACGAACTGCATTCTGATTATCCTAAACAAACATTTCTTTTAGAGTGGGGAAGTAGAAAAGATCACAGAAATTGTGTATATTTCCTTATATAGACTTTGAATATTGTCTTCTGTATATTAGTTCACAGAGCAGAAGTTAACTGTGTATCGTTCCATCCTTCTGGTAACTATCTCATCACTGCTTCTACTGATGGCACCCTTAAGATTCTGGATCTCTCAGAAGGAAGACTTATTTACACACTCCACGGACACAAGGTATACATGATAAATCTATTAAAGTGGAAATTTTAATAAGTTTCTTATTATTTTCTTTTTAAGTGAAAGTAACACTTGCAATGTCTTGTCATAGTTGAAAAGTAAATTTCAGTGAATGGCAAAGTGTTATGTTAGTATACCTTTCTACAAGTATGTAAGAAAGCACATCAGTTTTGGCTACAATTGTGCAATTCATCTGTCAGTGCATGCTTAACATTGAATAATGGTTTGTGTTATGAATTAATAATTCATTTTGGAGAGTTAATTATTTGGAACATTAGGCTTTTGTCTATTGGAAAAGAGAGCAAAACATTAGGCTTTTGTCTACTGAAAAACAGTGCTCTCCACAGGGGGAAGCTTATGGAAGATATTTTTTGTGAAGAGTGATAGATTTTTTTTATCCTTTTCCTCCTTATGCAGAAGAAATCTTAAGTTTGATAATGAATCTCTCAAACACTTTCTCTTGAGAAATGTCATATATATTTGTTTTTTTTGTTGTTGTTGTTTAATTCCACATAAAATCTATGGAAAGTGTCATTTTTTTTTTTCAGTATCTATTGTAGTAATCAAAATGAAGCATCTTACCGAGATGCGCAACAGTAATGCATCTGTCAAATCATGCAAAAATTTTTATAGCTAATTTGCTCCTTTATTATTGAATTTATTTATTGTTTTTAATATTAAATAACTATGTTTTTTTTTTTTTCTTTTCGTTTTCTGTGTATTAAAATACTATGACTGCAGTCATAGCATTTTACTCTGCTGTTTTGTTTTTTCCTTCAGGGACCTGTCCTTTCTGTGGCCTTTTCAAAAGGTGGTGAAAAATTTGCCTCAGGTGGAGCAGATGGTCAGGTTCGTAGTAAAGTCTTTTGAAATTAAATGTCTTCTCAGTGTTTGTTACAGTTAATGTTAATTAGAGTATGCTGACATTCTTGGCATTTTGTCTAAGAGTGTGTTATCCTAAAGTTAAATTTGGGTAGAAAAATGGTAAATATGTTATTTAAAAACTTAAGTTTAACTATGTTAGATTGGATATTATGAGAAGGAGATACTAGGCACTTCTCTACAGTATTTGATTTACAGTAACAAAATGGTTTGTAATAGAAATATTACAATTGTTGCAGTTCAGTGTCAAATAAGTAGGTTCAAAGGGTTAATAAGAAGGACTGCTAAGATTTGCAAATATTGAAAAAGTGGAAATGCTAACGAACTTCCATTATAAATTTTTCAAGCTAAAGGGAAAAAAAAATGTACTCCTTGAGCCACTAGTATAATCATTTATTTTCTTTATTGAAGTTTTCGTATGAGATTTTTTCTGTTTCCAAAGAAAATTTTGATTCTTAGGGAATCCTGAATTGTCCTTGTTCTCATCGGCACTTTTTTGGAGCCTAACAACCTCAATAAGGAATTGGATGGACGGCCACAGCCAGAGCATTGCAGTGATTCTGTGTCCAAGTGAAGGCTGGTGATGAGTGGTTTTCCCCAGGGGTCATTCTTGGGACCAGTACTGTTAAATATCAACAATCTAGATAGTGGGATTTCATGCACCCTCAGCAAGTTTGCTGATGATGCCAAACTGAATGGTACAGTTGATGCAATAGCAGGAAGGGATGGCATCTGGAGAAACCTGTACAGACTCGAAAACCAGACCCACATGAGCTGAATGAGGTTCAACAAGGCCAATTGCAAGGTGTTGGGTCTGGGCAATCCCAGATATGGGTGCAGACTGGGAAGAGAACTTCTTGAGATCAGTCTTGTGAAGGACTTGTGCGTTCTGGTGGATGAAAAGCTGGACATAAGCCACCAATGTGCTCTTGCAGCCTGGAAGGCCAACTGCATCCCAGGCTGCATCAAAAGAGCAGCCAGTAGGGTGAGGGAGGTGGTTGCTCCTCTCTTCTCTGCCTTTGTGAGGCCCCACCCGGAGTGCTGCATCCAAGTCAGTGGCCCCTGTCACAAGAAAGGTGTGGAGCTGTTGGAGAGGTTCATAGGAGGGCCGCGAAGATGATCAAAAGGCTGGATTATTTATAAAGACAAGTTGAGGGAGCTGGGCTTGTTCAGCCTGGAGAAGGGAAGGCTCTGGGGAGACCTCATTGTGGCCTTTCAGTACTGCACTAAGCAATCATGGAAGATGTTGAACTTGAAATGAGCTTGTAACAATCCATCTACTTAAGATTATACTAGAGGTATGATTTAGTCTTGCTAGAATTTCTGCTTACAGGTTTGACCTTTCTGATGCTTACATATTTTTGCTTTTTTTCTGAAATATTTTTAATAATTGCCATAAATACTCTTGCTCTTAGAAGCAAGTGATTTTTAAGTCAGACCATGCAGAGTAGACCATGCTCCAATCTCTTTTTTTTTTTCTAATTCAGAGGATAACTAGAAGAAATCAACATTGGTCTTCTGGAAATTGCCATTTTCTGCTAAGTGTTATGAACTTCTTTTTATTAATTTTTCTCAGTATTTAAAATATATGACAGAAATCATGAAACTTACGCTAAATTTAATTAAATGACTTACATTTCCAATTACTTTGAAAGAGATGCTATGCGGAAGTGTCTGTATTGTAGAATAGACCAGGCTTGTTCTGATGTTATGATCAGTGAGTGGACTCAAAATATTACTGGCTGACAGGGTGGCTTTTTTACAGGTATTACTGTGGAAAACCAACTTTGATTCATTTGATTATAAAGAAGTTCTTAAACATCACATTAGAAGAATACAGACCGATGACCCTCCTCATCTTCTTGATATTTACCCAAGATCACCTCATCTCCATGATGAAAAACTTCAGTCAGTTGAGGTGAGTGCAATAAGTGCTTCAGTATAGGAAACTGGAAACTTACAAACACCGTCTGTGTAACATTTATAGTTAAATGTAGTATGTACTAGAAAACTTTTTGTTGCTGTGTATGATATCATAGCAATCATAGCTTATAAATTCATATTAACATTATTAGGCTAGTTGGTACTGGCAAATAATCCTATAGAATTCCTTTCATGTTTCTTGTGTAGCTCTGTATCCTTCTAATTAGAAAAAAAAGTGCATACAAGTAGTAGTCTGGTTTCTACCAAAGTACCATACCGAACTGTTGCAGAAGATACCTGAGTCTTCAATGAGCAGGACAAAGTAGCATTGTTACTGATATTTAGAAACTAGATTGTCAGAAGTTGCCCCTCTTTCCAAAACCTTTAGATGTTGTGAGAAGATCTTGTTATTGATCTAAAAACATATCAAGCTTTCCTAGGATAGTTTATCTTTGATATTCTCCAGGTGTCTCTTTTGTCCAAAAGTTGAATCCAGTGTATAGGTTCATTAATTATTTGACTTCTGTCATTACTAATAGGGTCCTATAGAAATTCACCATTATCTATTTTCTATTCAAATAAAATGCTGCTATGGTATTTGTTTCCTTCTCAGACTGTTAAAAGATTTAAACTTGACACTGTGAGGTGCCACTGTGTGCCTCTGCAGGCATGTTTGGCTTTCCCTATTGAATGGGCCTGAGCATGAGGACAGTACTATTACACCCTTGTGATATGCAGATAGATATGCAATCTGAGTATTATAAAGATTGAAAATATTTTGGTGAAGGTCAGGAACTCCAAAAGAATCCATCACTAAGTATTCTCACTTATCTGGTTTGTTGTCAAGTTAGATGTGAAACTTTCTGATCATGGTCAGAGTAAGAGCAGGATAATTTTTTGTATGACAACTTGATAAATAAATTTCTCTCATGGACAATGCTGTATCATTGCAAGATCAATGAATGAAGTGTAAGTCCTGTTTGTAGCAGCCTTCAGTGTCAAGGGTCAGTGTTTGAACAAACTCAGTCACAGCATTTACCATCACATTTCAACTACCATTTCTGCAGCAGCAGTTTGCTTCAGGATCTGTTCAAATTGCATACACTTAAAGCACTTAAATGCTAAAAACAGAGGTTAATTTATAGTTCCAGGGTTTGGTTTTGTTCTTTTCAAGTTGATTTTTCCAGACTACTCAAATGCTTAGCAAATGAATGAGTATTTACTAATGAATCTTCCTTTTTTTTTTTTTTTAATTTTCTTTTACTCCTGGGGCCCAGGCAATCAAAGAGATCTGGAAAAGTGTTGAATTCAGGCTACAGATAAACTAAGGTTCACAAGCACCTAATTATCTTCATTAAAAGAGCAGATAAAGGAAATCTGATATTTGAATGTCAGGAAATTATTTACAAGCCAGTTTTGGTGGATTTCGTTTAACCTATTGTCTGCATTTCTGCATGGTTGTAGCATTTGTAGCATTTTACAGGTTTCTGGGTTAGCTGCTCCCAGGGAGTATAGCAGTCAGAATTTTAAGACACAGCTTTGAAATTCATATTCTTGACTTATGAATCTTTATGGTAGTTCTTCAGTTGCCCTGCATCTATGCAATTCTTGATTATTCATGAAACAATGCACTAGGATCTGCTTCACTTTTCTAAAGCTTGTAGCCATTACAATTATTCAGACAATTTGGAAATATAAGCAAGTGAGTTAAAGTGCTCACTTTTCCCCATTGACCATAGAGGTAATCTTGTATGTCTAAGTTTAAAATGAGGTGAACCCCAGTCACTGTCTCCTTTTTGAGCTAAGGAGCTGTTGAGGATATTTGAAAATAGTATGTTCAATCATTAGCACAGTTTTACTGCAGTATTCCAAGAGATGCGTTCCACTTAGTGACAATTATAGAAAGTGAAATTTCCATTAACATGTTAAAATCCCAGTGCTGTCTTTTTTTAAAGATATGTGGAGTTTCTATCTTCAGCATGATAATGTAATGTTAATTTAGTTTCTCGTTAAAATTTCAGTGTACTTTTAGTTGCAAATATTTTCACAGATGTTTGAAATCCACATGTACACTAGATGGCAGTAGAAATAAGAATATACAGCTACTGCTTGTTTGCCTTCAGAATTCCAGTCTATGAAAAAAACAAGTGTTAATCAAGTTCAAAGCTAAATTTCTTCTTAGTATTAGACTATTTAACAGCTTAGCTACATCACTTCTCTAGGAAATATTTTGCATGAGTCATTTAGAACTTCATCTTTTGGTTTTATTAATCTGTCAATTTGCTATCTTTATATTTAGCATTGATGTCTTCTTATGAAAGGTGAAATTTTTTTGTTTCTTTTCTTGTTTGATTTTTATCCACTTTAAAGTGAAATAGATAGAATTAATGCCACCTCTGCTAAGGCTGCTGTTGGTTTACTGATAAAAAGTTGAAAAAGGGAAAGTTCATTTCTCTTTGCTGCACCAGACTTCATGGTGATTTGAAAGACATCTAGTCCTTCTTTATTTCAGCCTTTACAAACTAAACAAGCTTCCTTTTCACTTAACATATTTAGCACAAGAATCTGGACACATTGGGCTGTAAAATCTCCATAACTGGCAGTGCTTGGCACAAAACAAAATTTCTGGCCAGCAAAATATTTGGCTTTTACACCTTCTTATAATGCATATGTATACTAATTTTTCCTTGTAAGAAAAGATTATCCGAGGGTGAGGGGAATACCCTGTATTAGTATGGTGCAGGTTTTTCGCTATGTGGTGCTGAACTACAAGGCTTTTTAATTGTGATAATCATGAAGGTAAGTGATAGTGTGAATGTTGTAAGTATACTAGCAGTGTACATGCTGGAAGTCTCTGTTTTGGTGAAGTAAAAATCTGCAGAATAATTTTTAAGTCTGTATGTTTCAGCTGTAGTGAAGTGGGAACAAATTGGTGTGAACCATGGACAAACTAGAGCAAACAGTATGGGTGATGCAAACACATGACAGCTAAAGCTTTCTATAGTTATGGAGAACATAAACTAGCTCCAGAACTGAAAACCTACTAACAGCGTTAAGTTGGTATTCCATATAAGACTAGCTTCACTCTATTTCTGCCCTGTGCTACAGTACTAACATTGATTCAACTGCCTAAAGTTGTTCACTGCTCTAAGGACTACGTTTTGATATGGTATAAATTCTTAGATGTCTGTAAAAGAAGAAGAAAAAAAGAAATCAGTATAACTTAGCAGTAGCACATTTCGAAACTTGCAAAAACACTTTCAAATGAGTTATGCAGTTTGGAAGTTTTATGAATGATTCCTATTGTTCAGTATTTCAGCAGCAGCATTGGTCACTTCTTTTTTTTTTTAAGTTGGAAGATTTTGAGGTAGCTGATCATGGTAAATCTATGTCAAACTGGTATTTTTGACTTAATTTTTCTTGATTTATCATGGAACTAAATCTCCTATTGCTTAAGTTAAGAATGTTTGAGTTAGTTTTGAGGAAACAGATGTTTATAAAATATAAATAATATATTTAATAAATACATGTCTGGATTCTCTTTCTGTACTATGTGATTGCATTTTATATTGTTGTGGATCAACATCCTTACTTTATTCTTAAGGCTTGTTTTTAGCTTGTGGTGAATAGCAATTCCTCACTGAAGCTTTCAGTCTTATTTCCCTTCTTGTACTGCTGGAAATAATGAGGACTGTAATTAATTTTCAACAGGTCAACCCTACGTTTGATGTGGCTGATACACAAACAGTTGACCCACCTGTTGTAGAGATTAGTTCCTCTCCATCTTTTGGTACTCTGGTAAGTTGCCTTCTGAGCCAGAATGAAAGAAAAAAAGAAAGAAAGGAAAAAATAATACTGTTTAGCTAACTTAGCTTTAACTAAAGATGTTACTGTTTTGTTTTTTTTTGTCTGTATGAATAAAGTACATTTTTAATAAGTTGTTGATTGTTCAGAGCTCAATATTCCAACTTCTCAATTTAAGCTTTTTTTTTCACAGTTCCCAAGGCTAACCAGAAGATGGTGTAATAGTGAAGCTTCCTGGTTATACTAGTAATTTTATTAATGTACTAAGCAGAAATTCTAAGAAGAAGCCCATGTTAATTCTATCTAGATATTGCTGTTAAAATCTTTGGCTTTTTCTCAGACAATTTTTGTAGCTGTCCTTAGCTTCAAATAATGAGAAACATAGAGTAGTTGCCTCACTGATGAGATTCCAGTAGAAATTCCAGTTTTTCCAGGGTAGAAAAAAAATGTAACATTTTAGGAGAGAAACATAGGATTAGTTCCTTCTAGTGTTAGCTTTTCATATGACATTGTTAGAGCATGTGGGAGGAGAAGGATGAAATGTTTTAGGTTTTAGTTTTGTAGGAGGAGAAGTATTGTCTCCTAGTTTGAAGTTTGAAGATGTACTATTCTAGAATTGGTTTAAATGAAAATATCTTTTTGTTCTAATCTGTTCACTGGAAAGTATGATTTGTATCTTGAGCAATTTTAATTACCATAACAAGAATTTGTGTAGCTGAGGGGTCAATAGATATGAATGGGCAGCAGGTGTGGTTTCTGCTGTTTTCCTTTGCTGTGAATGCTTTACAGAAAGGCATGTTGTGAGGATAGTTTATAAAATGCTTTAAGGTGGTTCAATGAAAATCATGATAGAGGTTCACATCCTAAAATAAATCTTTTCTTCAAAAGCAAATAAACATAATAATTCAATTTGAGAGATGGTATTCAGATCACTCCAAAAGTAATGCCTTCTATTTATTTCTGTGGAAACCACAACAGATACAAAAAGCACACTAACACTTTTTGATAAAGCAAATTCTCAGCTACAAAACACTATTTTTCAACAAATAGTCACCAGCATTAGGCAATTCACATGGATGAGCTGATTGACAAGCTCTTCATTTCATGAAGAGCTGTGCATAGCCATCCAGAATGAGGCTTGTCATTCATGTTGCTGTTACCACTGTTGAAACACACTACCCACTGCCTCACTGTGCTCACATCCACTGTTTGGTCTCCATAAAAATTCAGCAAGCATTGATGAGTGTCAATGGATGCAATTTTTTCTGCATTTAGGAATTCAGTCCCACACTACTGCTTCAGACACACTTCTGTGTCAGAGATGACTTTGTCAGACTGCCCTTCTTCTGCCACCTGTCATATGGCAACAAAACGTAATGGAATATTGGTGTGAAGATTCAACCTCTAATGCTATACTACCAACATTCACCTCTGATGGTATGGGCTAACATAAAAAAAAAAAGGAGGCATTACTTTTGGAACATTCCCGTAGCTCCATATATTTTAAACTGCAGTAGTTGATGTGTTGTATTTTCACAATACAATATGGGTCTTTGAGATAATTTCAGTCAAAAGTAATTTGCAGACTCACAGATGTCTCTTTAGGAGGCTTGACAGATTGACTATTGCAGTGGATAAAATTTATTGATTGTCAATTCAAAATATGCCTTGTTCACTACTTCCTGTTCTTGATACTGATCACAGAATCCAAATGTACAGCTGCACTGTAATTCTTTGTTATGTACCTATAAATCTGCTAATCATTTAATCTCCTTCCTTAATTCATTTAATATGAAAGCAGTTTATAAAATTTTATGCCCAGAACTCATTCTGGTATTAACTTGACTCGCTACTGACAGCATTCTCTTCATTTCAGTATAGTTGGCTTTACATTTTTTTATTACAAAAATGTTGCTTCAAAATTCATATTCATATCTTTTGACAGACAGTGATCACTATGTTTTTGTTTTTGCATTATCTTCATCTCCTGTTCAGCATTGGTTCCCACCTTTCTGCATCTTGGTATTCAGTCTGCATATTTTTTCTATATAGTGTTGTTTCTGTATCCTTGCAATTCAGACTACAGACATAAGGACAACTGCTTTATCTTCCATATTTTTTCTTCAGCTAACTTTCCTCTCCAGCATAGTAAGTAATACTTTGCAAAACTCTGGCAACCTTATCTGGTCCTCCCTGCTTTATGTCATTTTACCTTTTGAGTTATCATTCTGTTCAGCATCTGTGTGCCTTACCTACGTCTGTTGTTTGTGGAATGATTACCTGTTTCTTAATTGGGTGAACCATCCAATCTCTTGGTTGCTTTCATCTGAAGCTCTCTCCATTTCCCTAGCATGTAGAGGCTTCACGTTTTTTCTTTCTAAAAATCAAATGCAGAAGGGAGATGCTGGATTTCTTCCCATCCCACCTTCACTGCCAGCTCTCCCTCCTGGATACTATTTGGCATTGTGTGAATGGTACTGTGTTTGTGCATCTGTGTATTAGGAGACGTCATCAGCCTCTAGTGAAGCTCATTTTCTTCCCTGATGTGTTACCTCCAGCAACATTGTACTAAACCCCTGGGTTACTCTTTTCCTACTGATTATCAAAGATAATATAACTGTATATTATTTTATTTGGAAACTTGTCAAGATGCATCAAATCCACTTGTGGTCTCTGGTCCTACATTCACTGGAATAACTCTGTTCTAGGCTCTTGCTCTTCTGGTAATTGAAGTTCTTTGATCAGGTTATCAGATTATTTTACAAAAGACCGGCATTTACCTGCTTTATTCTTTTTCAGTCATTTTTATTTAGCTTAAGCAATTCTTCATCCATTCTGATTTATTTAGAGAGAAAAAATACACTCTGTACTTATGTATCCTTAAGGATTCTTGATCAGTGTAATTGGAGGTTTAGGTTGGATATCAGGAAAAACTTCTTTACAGAAAGGGTTGTTAAGCATGGAATAGGCTCCCCAGGGAGATGGTTGAGTCACCATCCCTGGATGTGTTTAAAAACCATTTGGATGTGGTGCTCAGGGACATGATTTAGCAGAGGGTTGTTAGAGTTAGGGTAGTATGCTTGGGTTGTGGTTGGACTCGATGATTTTAAAGGTCTTTTCCAACCTGAACAATTCTGTGATTCAATGACAGGGCCCTAAGGAGAATTTACACAACATTTTGGCTATTCCCTGGGCCACTGGTGGTAGCCAGTGGTAGTACAACAGATGTACTGTTTCTATGGAAGATGAGAGTTACAGCCTTTTTTCAGATCACTGTCTTAAGTATTTAAAGACAAATTTCTCTAGAACAAATGAAAAGCTTGTGTAGGATCTGTGATGAGTTTCCCCTAGATCCCTGAAATATCTCCAGAGAGAATGGAAGTCTATACCAAACCATGTAATGTTTTGTTGACAGAGAAGTATACCTTTTCCTCCCTTCTGTAAAGATAGATTGGAAAAGACATCTGAAGTAATTTCATTTGTCCCTTGTCTTAAAGCATGGCTGACTTGGATGAAGTTCTGAAGGTCTGTCCAGTTCTTTTGTGAGTATGTGTAACAATGAACGTCATGCCACCCATCCAGGCAGTTTGCTATGATGTTATACTGGTGAAAATATTTGTCATAATATGTAGCTAGAATTTCCCATGTTCCAATTTATCTGCTGTCCCTATTCTGTCACAGTGATTTTCTCGTAAATTTTTGGCTCAATCTTCTCCATTTTTCACCCATTAGATATTTTAGGTGGCAGTAAGATCTCCATGTGGCCTGCCTTCTCTGAAGCTGAGCAAACCTGGTTCTCAGCCTCTCCCTGAATTTCATGTGTTTCAGCCTCTTGACCATCTTAATCTTTTCCCTCTGGTTTTGCCCAGGATGTCAGTATCTGTCAATATACAGTCTTGTACTGAGAAATACCAAACTGGGCACAACTCTAGATATATAAGGTGCAGCTTTATACCATAGTTGTTTATTATTTACAACTACACAAATTATTAAACTGCAAGCAGCATATCTTTTCAATATTTGTACAAAGTTATGTGGTATAAGGCCAGTTATTTTCAAACCTAGTGAATAGTATACTTTCATCTAAGATCCAAACTGAAGCAACCTACTTTGTGAACATAGTCATTGTGTCAGTGTAATAACTTAAATGTAATTATCAGTACAGAGCTACTTTCTTTTGAACTTTAATCACATAAATATTAAGAAATCCTGTCAATATATTGGTATTTTCAGCAAAATAGCTTTTTTAAGCTATTTTTTAGCTAATTTGATGATTCATTTACTTGTTTCCCATGTATTACTGAAATGTATATAAAAACAAGCAAACAAGCTGTATATTCTACGTAGCTAGTTTGCATAATGCCCTGACTTTTCTGATGTTAGGAGTGTTTATATGTTGCAGTTATTGAAAATGAAGTATGTGCTAGCCTTTTACACTGTAAAAACGTTCACTGAACTGGGGTCAGTGTTTCTGGGGCTATATGAGTGGATTCTTTTTCACTTCTATCTCACTGAAGACCCTGAAAACATTACTGCCTCCATTCCAACTACTCTTTTCTATGTGTCAAGCTTCTTAACATTGCCTTTGTTTTTTGAGCTATTGAAAAGGAAAAAATGGAGGTCTTGTTTCCCTTTTTTTTTTTTCTTTTGGTATGTAAGCCAATACACTCATAACCTCCGGTCCCTGATAAGCCGTTGGGAACAAGTGAAAGTTGATGATGTCTCAGTAGTTTTTACTGACAGCAGCAGGAAATCACTGTAGAGGCTCTCTAATGTTCCATCCCCTGACCTTGCTCATGTAAACAGGATTTGGAGGAAGCAAAGCAATGTACTGTAATCTGGAAGTCAGAAAGTCTGCGCTGGCTGTGAGATGTTTGCTGTTCTTTCTTTTGCAGTACTGGTTAACACTGAAAGAAAGATATGCTTTTTATTTATTGCAGTATGGATTGTTAAGACTGTAGATTAATTATTGGAAGGGGAAAGATTGTTCCTAT